ACCCAGGGCAACAGCTTGAGGCTCTGTCTCAAAAAAAAAATATATATATATATCTATATACATACTTTATATATAATATATACTTATATGTATTTAATAAATATAAATAAAATATATTTATATTATATATAAACATATAGCAAAATTGATATTATATATAAATATATTTTAAAATATTATTTATATTTATTAAATATACAATAATATATTATATATAGAATATATTTAGTAGATATAAACGTATTTATTTATAATGTGTATATGTAATAAATGTAAATATTATTAATATAACATTTATATGTAATAAATATAAATATATAACATATAAATGTATATTTGTTAAATATATAAATATTAAATATTATTATTTTATAATATATCTAATATATATTATATATGTAACATATATAAATAAGTATATAATATATATCATATATTTATTCATTTATTTGGAGATAGAATCTCATTCTGTTACCCAGGCTAGAGGGCCATGGCATTAGTTTATATATATAAACAAAATGAGAAGTCCCTACTTAAACTGACTATAAGGACGGGCACAGTGGCTCACACCTGTAATCCTAGCACTCTAGGAGGCAGAAGCAGAAAGATCACTGGAGGCCAGGAATTCAAGACCAGACTAAGCAAGAGTAAGATACCCTCTCCAGAAAAAAATCGAAAGATCAACCAGGCATGATGGTGTATGCCTGTAGTCTCAGCTACTTCAGAAGCTGAGGCAGGAGAATCACTTGAGTTTAAGATTGCAGTGAGCTATGACGATGCTACTGCACTCTGCCTGTGGTGAAAGAGAGACTCTCTCCCAAAAAATCAAAACCAAAACCAAAAAACTCCCTGACTATAGTTACTCAGGAATTCAATGTGTTTTAGTGTTTCATAGCACTTGCTTTTAGAGTTCAATTTTAAATCTCCCAACAAGGGTGGTGCCTGTGGCTCAGTGGGTAGGGCTCCGGCCCCATATATCGAGGGTGACAGGTTCAAGCCTGGCCCTGGCCAAACTGCAACAATAAAATAGCCAGGCATTGTGGCGAGCACCTGTAGGCCCAGCTACTTGGGAAGCTGAAGCAAGAGAATTGCCTAAGCCCAGGAGATGGAGGTTGCTGTGAGCTGTGACGCCACAGCACAATACCGAGAGCAATAAAGTGAGATTCTGTCTCTAAAAATAAATATATCTTCCAACAAGCCTAGGCAATCTATAAAAGGAAAAAAAAGTGATTGTGGAGGGTCAGAAAAATGGCATATTTAAAAATACATTATGATCCATTCTGTCTCCTAAATTGTTCTGAATAATTTACTGAAATTGCCACAATTTTATATTTTGAAAACTAACTCTCATTATGATTGAATTAATTTGAGCAGCCCATGATATGGGGGTAAGTGTTACCTACTTTAAATAAAAGGAATTGAGTATATAAACTTAATTGGGGGAACAAGAGAAAAGCAGCATCCCAAAAATGAAGTGACCAATATAACAAGGAAGTACACTGGTGAAATAATTTCTTTAATTATAACAGTCTCGACACTGTTTCAGATACCTTTTAGACTTTCTCTACCATACTCTGTTAACAAACCACAACTGGAATGAAGCCACAGCTGTAAAATAGGACTACTAAAGGATTACGACACCATACATAACCCTAGTGCAGACAGACTAGGGAGTCAGTTTCAATAACCATATTTTAAAAATAGTAAGCAACAAATTTCTTACAATTAAATGCAATCAGAGAGAGGCAGCAAAAGAGAAAAATAAAGCTAAGCGTTCTTCAGACAGAGTATGAAAGCCAACTAGAGCATCCTGAGAGGTTAAAAATAAGTTCTGATTTCTTCAGTTCTAAGTCAATGGTAACAGTAGCTAAGGAGTGAACAAATCCAAGTGCTGTCTCAACACACCCAGTCCAGTGTGGTATTGTCAGCAATGTCCACGCCAGACTGACATATAACACAACCTGATTTGGCTTTGCCCCTAAAAGCTCAAATACACAGCCAGAAAACAAAAAGAGTCTACAAGGCACTGAACGGTAGTGCAGAAACATGTGGGAGGTCACTGTGGGGATCTAACTCACTAACCTCAAAATTTTTCAATCTTACGGTCTATATTTCCTTAAAAGAGCTAAAAATCATAGACCATGTCCCTGGGAGCAGGGATCAGAACATGGGTTTCAGTCTTTGTTTTTATACCATGACCTTTCCCTACCTTTTTTTTTTTTTAAAGAGGTAGGATCTACCTATGTTCCCCAGGCTGGCCTTGAACTCCATGGTCTCAAGGGATCCTCCAACATCAGCCACCAGAATATCTGGAACTATAGGCATATGCTACTGCACCCAGCTCTTTCCTATTTTAAAACAGCCCCATCAATGGTCAAATTTGACGAAATCTGCCTCTGAAATGATGATTCATCCCAGATAAATCTATTTCTGCACAGCTGCTATCTAGACAATTATCATTTTTTGTTTGGGCCCAAGCATGGTCGCTCATGCATATAATCCTAGCACTCTGAGAGGGCAAGGCAAGAAGGTTTCTTGAGCTCAGGAGTTCAAGACCAGCCTGAGCAAGAGTGAGACCACATCTCTACTAAAAATAGAAAAATTAGCTGGATGTGGTGGTCAGCACCTGTAGTCCCAGCTACTAGGGAGGCTGAGGCAGGGGGAATTGCTTGAGCCCAAGAATTTAAGGTTGTTATGAGCTAGGCTGATGCCATGGCACTCTAACCTGGGCAATACAGTGAGAATCTGTATCAATGAAAAAAAAAAGTTTTTGTTCTTGTTTTCATTTTTAAATTGTGTTCCATGTTTTAAGGAAATGTCAAGTCAGATGCTGGCAATGTAAAAATACTCAGATTCACTGACAGGCCAAGCAAGAAAAAAGTAAAAATAAAAACACTCAAATACTGTAAAGGACATACAAGTTGACTAATATGTATCATTAAATATAAAAGAAGGGCTCAGCGCCTGTGGTATAGTGCTTAGGGCACCAGCCACATGCACCAAGGTTGGGGGGTTCTAACCTGGCCCAGGCCAGCTGAACAACAATGACAACTGCAACAAAAAAATAGCTGGGCATTGCAGAGGGTGCCTGTAGTTCCAGCTACTTGGGAGACCCAGGCAAGAGAATCACTTAAGCCCAAGAGTTTAAGGTTGCTGTGAGCTGTGACACTACGGCACTCTACTGAGGGTGACATAGTAAGAGTTAGGTCTCAAAAACAATAAATAAATATTTCAAAAGGTAAGAGGATGAGAATAGCTATTAATATGAATATCTAAAGCATATTTGGCCACGCATGGTGGCTCACGCCTGTAATCCCAACACTCTAGGAGACCGAGGCAGGTGGATTGCCTGAGGTCACAGGTTGGAGGCCAGCCTGAGCCAGAGAGAGATCACGTCTCTAAATAATAGCCAAGCATTGTGGCAGGCACCTGTAGTCCCAGCTACTTGTGAGGCTGAGGCAAGAGAATCACTTGTGCCCAAGAGTTTGAGGTTGCTGTGAGCTATGATGCCAGAGAACTCTACTGAGGATGACAAAGTGAGACTCTGTCTCAAGTAAATAAATAAATAAATAAAGCACATTAAATGATTTAAATTTTTGATCTCAAATTGTACTCATGTAGATTATCTACCATATACTCAGGAAGAAGTTTATTACGTATATGCCTGGCTCCTCAACTATTAACAATCTATTAACATAAAATTGTAGTCACACCTCCATCAGACACCAAAGAGAAAACAATGAAAACATACCTTACAGAAGGAATTGGTGAACATTTCTGTCAAAGACTGTGAAACTGCTAGGTGTGTATCTTCTGAGCTGATCTTAAAAACCGTCTCCAAGCACTGAATTGCAACTTAAAACAAATTTTAACAGTGAAAAAAATTAGAAACTTAAAAAAAAGAAACAACCTCTTTTTTTCCCTGATAGACTGCAATCTGTGGAAATTCAGTATTTATGATCACAGAACATAAGGAAAACTAATTGGTTCAGCTGCAAATAGATTTCTGTTTATAGACTAGCTATTGAAGGAAGACAACTTTATGTCTTATTTCTTATGTAAGGAAATATGTTATCTAGAATATGATTTCTCAATATATGTATTATATTACATCATACTCTTTTTGAAGAATACAAGAAAGAAAGAACAGGGTTTTTTTATTTAGCAATTACATTCTTCTTAGTTATATAAGCAATCTAACAAGACAGCAGAGATGACACTAAACAGAGGAAGAAACATCATGCTTAGAAATCAGGTTATTAATAATAACTTAGCCCCCCCTGAAAACCTAAAATATTAATGTTTTAAATGTGAGAAACAGAATACTCAACATGATTAAAAGTAGTAAGATCCAGAAGATCACAGCAGAGTTAATAAACATATAAGGGAAAAAAAGCCAAGAAAAAGCAAAAATAGTGAGAGAAAAAGTCACTAGCACACAGGAAGCATTATGTCTATGTATTAATCCTGATGTACCTATGTGAAGATAGGTTAGTTTCATGCATGGATATATTCAGTATAGAAATATGTAGCTTATACAAATTTCTGTTATTTTTTTTATCACACTATATCATATGCATTTAAATGTTTGTCTCTCACATTAGACTGTCTGCTTCAGACCAACGTCTAATTCATTTTTGACTTTAACAGAGTCTGGCAAACAGTAGATGCTCAATATATTTAATCTACTGACTTCTGTGTTTGCAATAGAATTCGCATTTTAATTTCACAGAAAATAAAAGCAATCTGCGGAAGCCTGGTGCAGTGGCTCAAGCCTGTAATCCTAGCACTCTGGGAAGCCAAGCCAGGTAGATTGAGCTTAGGAGTTCAAGACCAGCCTGAGCAAGAGCAAGACCTCATCTCTACTAAAAATAGAAAAACTAGTTGGGCATTATGGTGGGTGCCTGTAGTCCCAGCTACTCTGGAGATAAGAAGCAAGAAAATCACTTGAGCCCAAGAGTTTGAAGTTGCTGTGAGCAATGATGCCATAGCACTTAACCCGGGGCAACAGAGTAAGATTCTCCCTAAAAAGAAAAAGAAAAATCTATGAAAGAGAGCATTTCCCCACATACATAAAAAACATGTTAATTCACAGCCACATGAAAGATGGATCGAACCAAACCAACCTCTTAACCAAAAATCAGAGTATGGAACTTCAGTGCTTAACACTGACAGGTAAAGGCCGGGCATAGTGGCTTGTGCCTGTAATCCTAGCACTTTGGGAGGCCGATCTGAATGAATCGCCTGAGCTCACGGGTTCCAGACCAGCCTGAGCAAGAGCGAGACCCCGTCTCTAAAAACGGCTGGGTATTATGGTGGATACCTGTAGTCCCAGCTACTTGGGAGACTGAGACAAGAGAATCACTTGAACCCAAGAGTTTGAGGTTGCTGTGAGCTATGATGCCACAGTGCTCTACCAAGGGTGACAAAGTGAGACTCTGTCTCAAAAAAAAAAAAAAAACCACTGACAAGTGAAAAGTCCACATGATGACTATATGCCCTATCTTGTCTAGTCCAGCTTCTTAATCTCTGATGCTACTAACCTTAGAACACAGATCTATCATACACTAGACACAATTAAGGGAGTGGCTTTTTTTTTTTTTTTTTTTTTGGCCAGGGCTGGGTTTGAACCTACCACCTCCAGCATATGGGGCTGGTGCCCTACTCCTTTGAGCCACAGGCGCCACCCGGAGTGGCTTTTCTTTGAAAACACAATTCTGTTTTGATAAGTAAACCTAGATGCCAAAGTGTTCAGTGTTCAACACTCACAGATATTTAGAAAAATATATAATTTAGCAAACAAAACTACCACTATTTGAAACTATCTCTTTATCACTAGTGATCTAGCCTGCCCAGCCCTCCCCAAATTAACCCGAGCTCAATAATTTAAATTACTTTTACTTCAAGATTTTCATTTATGAAACAGAGTTTGTTACATTTGATCTTGCTTTCAGGAGGTTACACTCAGGAATAAGTCATAAAAATCTAAAGAAGTATTGTATATACTTACTGTTCTACTTTAATACCAAACAAAAATAGTCTGTCTGTTTGGGACTGACAACAAGAAAGATGAATGAAGAATTCAATTCAATAATACCATATTCCACCAGGATTAACACTGAATTCAAAAGTTTTCACATGCTATGTGCCAGCCATTCACTGACTGTGATTCTCTTCACAAATCTATTAGATGGGGAGGGACAGATATCGCCACCTAACAGACTTAGGAACTAAGATACAACTAAGTGATATGCCCAGGATCACTGAATTCAATTTATCTATTCCATTCACCAAATATTTATTGAGCATCTACAATGTTATCAGGCACTTTTCTAGAGACTTTTGATATATCAGTGAATAAAACAGAAAAGATCCTTAAATCTCTTGAGGCTTACATCCTACTGAGGGAACTCTAAACATGAACAAGTCATAGGAGGTAATGGATAGAGAGTCTGGAGAGGGGAGCAAGGAAGCAGCTACAGACTTCAGACTTCACAGAGATTCAAGGGAAACCCCATTAAGAAAACAGATTTAGGCTAGTGTGGTGGTTCACACTTGCAATCCTAGCGCTCTGGGAGGCCGAGGCAGGTGGATTGCCTGAGCTCACAGGTCCAAGACCAGCAAGACCTTGTCTGTAAAAATAGCCAGGCACTGTGGCAGGCACCTGTAGTCCCAGCTACTTGGGAGGCTGAGGCAAGAGAATTGCCTGAGCCCAAGAGTTTGAGGTTGCTGTGAGCTATGACACCATAGCACTCTACCAAGAGGGACAAAGTGAGACTCTGTCTCCAAAAAAAAAAAAAAGAAAGAAAGAAAGAAAGAAAAAGAAAAGAGATTTGACAAAGACTTGAAGGAACTGGGGGTGTTACCCTTACCTGGAGGAAGACTATTCTAAGCAGAGAAATAAAAGCCTTTGGGCAAAAGGATTGCATGGATTCACAGGAAGGAAGCTAATTTGGCTGAAGCCAAAGGAGAAAGAGGAAGAGTAGATGAAAAATATGTCACAAAAGTTCAAATCACATAGATCCTTTAAGTGATGACTAAGTGTCACAAGGAGTCATTGCAAAATTTTGAGTGGAGAAATGATAAGAATTTGACAGGCTCAGTTTTAAAAGATCACTGGTGGCTATGTTTGGAATAGTCCATGGAGGAACAAGAATAGACCAAAGAGAGACCAGTGAGGGGCTGTAACAGCAAAACAAGTGAGAACTATTTAGTTTTAACCAGGGGTGTTATCAGTGGAGGTTACAATAAGAGGTGGTCAAATTCTATATGTAATTTGAAGGTACAGCCAGCAGGATTTGTTGAATGATGAGATATAGAGCATGTGAGAAAGATTTTGGCCTGAGCAATAGATAGGATGGAGTTGCCACCAATGGAATTAGGGAAGCTGCAGCTAGAACAGATTTGAGGTGGGAGAATGAAAAGTTCAGTTTGGGCAATGTCACATTTGACATGTCTGTAGGCATAAAGTAGAGATATCTAGTAGGCAGCTGGATCTACAAGTTGGAGTTCAGAAGAAAGGTCTGGATATAAATTTAGGAAACATCAGCATATAAATAAAGGTATTTAAGGCCAAGAAGCTGAATGATAACACCAAAGGAATGAGTATAGATAACAAAATAAAGAAGACCAGCCAGTGGACCCTTGGCCCTCAAGGTCAGGCCAAGCAGAAGAAGAGGAACCAGCAAAAAAAGACAAAGTAGCAAAAATAAGAAGACAACCCAGAGATGTGAGGTGTCCCAGAAGCTAAGTGAATAAGGCAGGGGTGGTGGTGATCATCAAGTTTATCAATGGCAGCTAATAAGTCAGATTAAGACTAAGAACCAACCACTGAACGAAATAACACAGAAATCACTAATGATCTTAATGAGAATGGTATGGATTGAGATAAGGAGGTAATAGCCCGATTGGAGTAGGTTAAAGAAAGAAGGAGAGGAGTGGTGCCTGTGGCTCAAAGGAGTAGGGCGCCTGGCCCCATATGCTGGAGGTGGCGGGTTCAAACCCAGCCCAGGCCAAAAACTGCAAAAAAAAAAAAAAAAGAGAGAGAGAAATGGAGTCTCACTATGTTGCCCAGGCTAGAGTGCAGTGGCCATTCACAGGCCCAATCATGGTGCAATGCAGCCTTGAACTCCTTAATTCAAGTGATCTTCCTATCTCAGCCTGCTGAGTAGCTGGAGTGACAGGCACACACCACTGTGCCTGGCTATCTTCTTATTATTTCAGTTTTCCTAGTAGCGTAGGAAGCAAGGCCATCAACTAAAAGTGAAGACAAGGAAAGAGGTTTGGGAGATTTGAGAAGACATGAGACAGTACTGAAATGGTCATCGGACAGCGCTAAAGTACTGAATGACATTGGAACAGATAATGTGATTGTCTGCCAGCATTAAAGGTCTGCTGAGGTTCCCAGTCATGAATTTAAAGTGGAACTAGTTAGAAAAGCTGCATGTTTTGCTCCATCTATATTTGGCCACATGCATGTGGGCATAGAGTAGGTGGAGAGTTGGATTTAAATGAGGTTGAGTTTTGCAAAAAGGGAGAGAGGGAGAGGAATGAGTATAATTACCAACCACAGAATTTAAGATGGGTAAGAAGTGTGGGACAAAGTGAGGAGGCATCAACAGATTGGAAATACTGGTGAGGTCAAAGAATTGTTGGGGTAGGAATTCTAGAAGGAATAAACTTGGAAAGATAGGCAGTAGTGGTCAGGAAGTTAAATATTTAAGATAGAGATTGTGGGAAGGATAAAATTTTGATAATGATAATCTCTAGAGAAGGGTTTCTCAATCTCAGCAAACTAACATTTTGGACCAGACCACCCCCTGCTAGAAGGGGCAGTTCTGGTCACTGTAGTACATTTAGCAGCACCCATGGTCTCTACCCATTCACTAGATGCCAATAATACCAGACCCCCAGTTGTGACAAATAAAAACATCTCCAGACATTGTAAAATCACCCCCAAGTTGAGAACCACTGATCCTGGGATATGACCAAATGTTTGAGATCACTGGAGGAGAAAACATCAAGAATGGAGAGGCAAGAGAATCTATGAGTGTATACTGCAACTGCCAAGAATTCAGACAGCAGGGTGGCGCCTGTGGCTCAGTGGGTAGGGCGCAGACCCCCATATACCAAGGGTGTCGAGTTCGAACCCGGCCCCGGCCAGCTACAACAGCAATGAGAATTGCAACAAAAAATAGCCAGGCCTTGTGGCGGGTGCCTGTAGTCCCAGCTATTCAGGAGGCTGAGGCAAGAGAATCACTTTAAGCCCAGGAGTTGGAGGTTGCTGCGAGCTGTGACACCACAGCACTCTACCAACAGTGACAAAGTGAGACTCTGTCTCAAAAAAAAAAAAAAA